TTATCTTTTTTAGTATAATATGTGTGTGGGTAGAAGTGAATCATTTACTGCTTGCAAACCAATGATGGTAAGATGATGTCATGGGGTAGGACTGGATAAGTCTGACTTCTTCCTACTCCATTCAAGCATGTACTAGGTATAAGCACATTGATATTGGATTAGCATTTGTTGGATATGTGTAAAATTATGTGTGTTGACATATTAACTGTCTTTACATGCTTGAAAGAATATATCAAATCAAATCAAATCAGTCAACCACAAAACAGAACAGATGATGAAATTAAATTGTTTTAATCAACACTACGCCCTCACGAGAGAAGACACTTTTCTTACTGCACACAAATATATTTGCCAAAACCCCACAGATCCACACACAGCCGGAACATGGGCTCATGCTTCACAACTTTGCTGAAGCTCCAACCACCTTTAAAGTCAACTATAAAGTACCAATGTAACATGTCTATTTTATGTACTTTACAATGAGGCACAGGAGGTCAGAGGCATTAGCATTTTCTGTGCTCGACTACAGCGTGAAGCAGAATGTAATTTTAAAAAATAAACAAACAGAGCTGCAGTAGTAGCACCAGTTAGCAAAAAAAACAGCAGTGTGTGTGGCCTCACAGATGTAAGATACAATCTGGTGATTAACTGTTTATACCTCACTCATAATGGAAATGGAGCATGTATCAAGCAGTAATATCACTAAACTGTATCCTTTAAATGATATTAAATGGTCTGGTTTTGGATGACTGTGCGGATTATGGCAGCTGGAGGCTGCTGTATGTGATGTTTTCCGGAGAGATAAAAACACAAGGCCACTCATATTAAATGGGCAGATAATGATCGTGGTATAGGTTGATTGAAATCAAATCAAAAGGAGGACCTCGGTTTTAGCTGCTGTCCCCGTGGCCATGGAGCTGCATGCTGTAGGTACAACACTAAATGTATGAATTTTAAGGATGGCCAGGTTTACAAATGATCATTTGCTGCTGTGGCCAGAAACTGTAACAGCATGGCCGTAAGAGCTCCGGAGCTTGTGTCCATTAAGTCATTGTCAAAGAAAGAGCCCCACTTTGTGCTCTGAGCTGGAGTGCAGTGTTTTATCTTTGAGCTGCATGGCAAAAGAAAATGTCAATAGTCTCTGAAGATGATGGATTAAGTTCGTTGTTATTTGCTTTGATCTCAACATCTAAAGGCAGAGCTGTAATAGCAGGTATCTGAATGGATTTATACAGATTCTGTAATACTTGTTGTTCTACAGTATGCCTACTTTGTTTATTGTAGTTTATTTAACTTTTTAGAACAGTTTGTGCTTTGCATTTTTGCTGCCTTACAGGATTAAAAGATAAAGCCTCAGCAGAGGTGTCTTGAGTTCACAGTCACTATTTGTCTCCCTCTATTGGCTGACTCATCTATCATATGTTAAATTAAAACTTTATTAATCACAGAAAGCCTTTAGACAACATTCTAGTGTAAGTAAGATAATCAGTGCAGCATTTGTCATTACATTTTAGTCACTGTCTGACAGCAGCCGCTTGAGCCCTTATTCGGATCATTAATAAAAGTTGGAATCGAAAAATTCTATTACAACTATACATACAGTATATAAACACACAGTATACAACAACAAAACTCTGTACACCCCTGTACAATATCACTGTAATTTTAAATGTTTCAGAATGTTTCATCTTACAATAACTGCATTACTTTAAAGTGTAGGAAGTTGACTGTATGTATATTTAGGAATAAACAGGTTAGAAAGACTAAAAACACAGACACCAAAGTACAACTTCAGTGCAACAAAAGGGGAGTATTAAAAAATAAGAACTAATTTTCACTAATGAAGGGTGCACTGACTCCTGTTGGTTCTTAAATACAGACCTTTCTAGTTCAATCAGTCAAACATTGGCTTCGTTCTTCTTGGGCTTTGATTAAAAGAAATAAATAAATCAATTAAACTGAACTTAAACAACCGACTCTCTAATTATTAAACACTTTAGTGATACTCAGTTGTACTCAAGTTTTGTTGTGCACTGTATTTCATAAATTTTACTGACATATTAACACGCAAGCAACATATTAACGCAGCAGCTGGGCGACGTGGAGCTAATTTTACATAGTCATTGAGGTGAAAGGTAGATTGTTGGCCTATAACAAGTCGCAGTTTAAGAGCTGGTCGAATGTTCTTTCTACGAAATCGAAACCAGCAACTAAAGCTGTCAGATAAATGTAATGGAGTAAAAGGTGTGACATTTTAAATGTAGTGGAGTACAATTACAGCATAAACTGGAAAAACACAACTAAAATGCAGTTGCAAAGTAAAAGAAAAATGAAGACTTCAGTTATCATAAATCCTTTAATATATGAAAGGCATATTTAACACAATATACAGTGTAACAGACCATGTCCCACAATCTTCATTTACATTTCTTTAGTTATCCATCAGAGTAGAGATGTCTAAACTGAAAAATATGAACTGATAATGTAATTCTGCTTGTTGTATTCTGCTGCACTAGAGATGCAACTAAAACTAAGTGTAGGTAAAACAGAAGATGTTTTTGTTGCACAGCTGAAAAAGGAGATATTTATAGTACTTTCTGTTCAGCTAAAAGAAAAGTAATTATTTTTAGTATCATTTAAAAACCCATCTGCATTTACAGCTACTGAATATACGTAGATTAAGAACCAAACACTGTGCAACCGGTTGGTTATACTGACAAAATGCTTTGTGCTTGCTTTTAATAACGTCCACATAGGTCTGCACATGTGTCTGAAAACAAAAGAAATGGAATGCTCATCTATTTTCATGCTTAATAAAACAAAAATTTAAAAATATAAAAACCAGAATAATATTTAAAGCATCGCAACTTTATGCTCACATTCCTAAACTTCCTTTATGTTGTGCCTTGTGCTGCATAAGGGTAAAGATAATTTCTGAGCATGGTGCAGTAGGTCCATGCTGATACACACTCATTCATGGTATGCATAAGGCTTGTCCTCTGGAGCAATTTAACTGCCCACAGGGAAAGCAGAAGAAATTATGAGGGTGTTTCATGTTGCAAGGCCATAATGATAAAGGGCAAAGCATAATTAGCATTGCTCTCTCCCTCCAAGTTTCCCCTACATTAAGTGAATACAAAACCAGAATCACCTAAAGCTGTTAAAACAAACATACTCCAGTAAATCACCTTCGTAGGAGTTGGCAAATTAAAGTTCTGCTGTGCTGCTACAACAGATTATTATGGCGTTAGTCGCTATTACCAAGGTGATTACTGGCAGATCCATTCAGACACAGCGGTGGCTGCAGAGAGTGAGTGGGAGTGCTTTTTGTTCATGAGCTGCAGCCCTGTACTGCAGCAGAACTGACACCCGTGGCCTCTGTCTGCCTTCAGCCACAGCCTCAGCATCGCTCTAAAGGCTCCTCCATTTTATCACAGAGTATTTCCTTGAGTGCATAAGCAGAGGTTCTTAATTAGGGGGAGGGGTGTTTAAAACCCTGAGCAAACACTTCCAATTAAAGGTGATTTTTTTTCCCTTTAATTTTGAAGAAATGAAAACATTTCAAAGGTTTGTTGAACTAAACACGCATCACACATTATGTGTTTCAACCCACTTTTCAAAAGATTAAGCTAGAAAGGTGCAGAGGGGGAAACAACCCTGGTTTTATCTTCGCATTTGATACCGGAGTAGGACAGATTGATTTACAACAGTTAGTGAAATCAAAGAAGCCCACACACATTTAGAAAAACAGGATGGCGGTATAAAAAGAGAAGAAAATATGTCATATCAGGCAAATGCTGCAACTTTAGATGAGAATATATAAGAGCTGCAAGTTGTTTTTATCCTGTAAATGTTTCTACATTTGATCTAAAAGGATAAACAAAAAAAACAACTGTTCTCTGCAACTGCTGGAGGCACTTGCTCACTAATTACACCTAAAGTGCTGAAATGAATGAGCTTCTCCTCTGGACCTTCATCCATCTCATCTGAGAGAAGTCATTAAGGCTCAGCCGCTCCAGTACAGATGCACTGAAGCTATTCTACTCGTGCATATGTTGACGCCTAATTTCAAATGACTGTTGTTTTGGCTTGATTTCTCTTTTTGTAAAAGAGCATTGTGTTTAAAAATACACCAAAAGCAGGTGCGCTCAGATCAGGGGCTGCTCTGAAGAGGGAGCGTGTGGGCGAAAGTAACACAACATGTACACAGGTGCTGTTTCTGAATGAATTCCTTTCTATATTCTCCAGACAGACTCAGCAAAGCAGAAAGGTTTTGGTATACTATTCACAGAATGTTAATGGTACCCATCTTTCCACTTGCGCACATTCAAAACATTGTTTTTTGGCTGAGTGAGTGTGTGAATATGGATTTTTGTGTGTGTGTGTGTGGTCAAATAAATCTCACCCACATCCTGCTATAGCCAGTAACAACCACAGTGGTCAAAAGCAGAGAAAAATGTATAACATCATCAAGTGAACCCAGATATATGAAACTGCATTCTGCAGGAACCCTGGACACAATGAAAAGGCGTGACGGTGACTTATAATGTGAGACAAGAGGTTTGTTATCATGAACAACAAAAGGTAACAAGTTTAAAGTGTACGTTTGAGAAAGAACAAATGAACACAGGGGACTGTTCAAATGTGAGGCTTGTTAGCTTTGTTACTCTACTACATATTAATCATCTAGTCAAAGTAAAAAGCAGCATTCATGTTAAATTGAGGCTTTTACTAATATCAAATGTAACAGCATGTGTTTAATATTTCAAAACTGGTTCAAACAAAAGACAACATTGAATGAAAGATAAAAGCGATACTATAACATTTTTCATTTTTGCTTAATTTTTCTTTTTAATGGGCAGTTGCCACGTAAAGTGACAATAAGTTCACATTTTGGCTATCAAAAAAAAATGCAGTGTGTTATTGTTGGCAGTCCTAATAAAATCTGAATTGTGCAGACAAAAGCTTGGCAGTTAGCTTGTGGCCAGCTGGTATTATTTGGTCTTCATTAGGACTGCTGACAACACTGACAAGATGTTGTTTTGCAGTTGTCTGATGGGTCAAAGGTAAAACAGGGGCCTGGTGAAATCAATCACTGACCCCAGAATAGAAATCTGTCTCTATGACAGGAGGGCAAATAAAGGATGAAACACCTCTAACATAAAGTTCTGTCATAATGTAGAAAACAAACATTTAAGACAGTTGTGGTAACACAAGTCAAGAACAAAGGCCCCAAACCAGCAATCCCATGTGCCTGAGGGATGCTCAGAGATAAACAACAACATTCTCATTAATTAAACCCTTTTGCCTGTACAGCACAGACCTAAAATCCAAACGCACCAGGCTGTTCCATACATTAAACACTAACAACATCCTCCAGTAAATCAACAGATAATACAATAACTGCAGGGCAAACAGGGCGATGTTCGAGGAACTGTTAGTGTTTTTCTGCATTAAGTTAGTCTATCTAAATTCAACAGACGCTGATGGGAAAAGAGACATGCTTTCATCCGGTGGCAGAAAGCATATATTTTTAGATGGGCCCTGAGGTATTGTGGGGCAGGGTGCAGAAATTCCAAGTAAAAGACAGGAAGAAGACAAAAATATGTGAAAATTAATGGCACTTTTTTTTTTTTACATTTTAAGTTAAAATTCAAATCTCTGGAAATGATTCAAAGTTGCAGGCATGACCAACAAGTGTTCAGTCATTTCAGAGGTCATAAAAGGTCATGACAGAGAAAAATGACACGCAAACGATTCAGTGTGTGTGTGCTGGCCAGCTGGTCAGCCTACAACACGATGTGTGGAAAAGCATGTTAAAACCAGGCTGTTTTTAGAGAGGTTCAACCTTTCACTGTGTGTGACAGTGTCTTTGTAACAACATGTGACCTAAAGAAGGGACTTGTTGTCTCTTTGCTTTGTGTTTCTTTTTGTACTATTGTCCATGGCTTCCAATCTCCCAGCTGACAGGAGTCCTTGTGCAACTGTGCCCCATAAATATACTTGTCCATGAAGAAAATCAGTGGAAAGAGAAACAAATAAAAAAAAAAACTACTGTCCTCTGTATATTTGGGCTAAAATCTCAGCTGAGTGGTAAACGAAATGTTGACTGGTTGGTCTGCGTGGGCTATTCTCTTCTCCGCCTTTCATGTCATTAAAGTAAACAGGGAAGTAAACTCTGCTTGTTTTCAAGTGCGACAGTGTGTATGTACTGCTTAGCTCAGTGGTAAAGCAGACAGACTTGAATGTCATCGGTTCTCCGTCGTCAGCTGGACGGGACTGTGTGCTGTGCTGACCTGCTGTGGGCCTGAGGTGCAGGGCTCCCTCACTTCACCTCTCCTGTCACCAGTTGGCTTTGATAGCTCTGACATCACTGACCAGGTTTTGGGCAAGGCAGATACCAAATATCTGAAGAGGAAGTCACACAGGACATTACGTCAAAGCGCCCACACAATGCGAGATCATTAAGGCTGTTACAGCTACAAAAGAGAGGACAGATGTATTGCAGGGGTTTGCGCGATGCTACCTGCTCTCACCAGAAGATGGCAGCGATGGCACAAAATCAGAACCCAGCCACATTGTTGGTTTAAACATGTCATTTCAAATGCACTAAGCTTCCTCATGTAAATGTTTGTAAGTAAAATAATCAAGCAATCAAACAAAGTACTGCTTACCTGTAAAAGTGCAATACCAACAAAGACTCCAGCTACAATGATCAAGTTGTCCTGGAGCCACTTCTCAAACTGTCCCACACAGCCCTTAGTGTAAATATATTTCTGCCGATGCAGATCCTTTTCAAAAACAAAAAAATATGAGTGAATAATTGTTATTTTTAAAATCACATTGAAATGGTCAGCTCTCAGACACAATGCTGGTCGTTTGCATGAGTCAAACAAATATCTGATCCCTGCCCTTCTGACTAATGCTGGACAGAGATAACATTTTGCCCACTGACTTCTTCACCACTGAGAAGGCATAAGGGGTGAGTGACAGATGAGTCACCCCGAGATTACAACGTGCCAGTGTCTGGACATCATGGAAAATATCAAAGCATGTATTGAGTTTCTCTGATGACCGTGTCTGGCCTGAAAACACAGGCAGAAGCTGCTTCCTCTTACTGAACAGATGCTTTCTGTGATGAATGTGGTCTATTCAGGCGTGGAAGTAAAAAGGCGTAATTTAGAGCAGCAAAGACACTAGAATGAGGAATAAAAATGGGTGTGAATGGGACTCTATACAATGCTCCCTTTGTTGCTCTTTGAGACAAACCAACCAGGCAAATCCTTTGTTCTCTTGGAAAACCTGAAAGTTATCTTTCCACCAACGTGAGGTCAAGGGAGTCACTGAGCATCCAATAAAAAAAGCAGGAAACACTATGTTGTTCTGGGTGTGAACTTCCTCCGAGGCTATTTCAGCCCTCTCCGTTTGTTGCGCTGGTGTCCTCCCCATGTCTGCTGCTCTTCCTCTTTCCCAGTCTGCACAGGAGCTTACTACATGGCACTGATGCTTTCAACAAAACGTTATTGACCACAGCGGTAGCACATGAGTGCAGAGAGAAAATTAATTCATACCAACTCTGTGGCAGGTGGTTCACTATTTTGCAGTGCGCCTAGCAACAGCAATCTTTCTGCCTGCAGTGCAGTGAGTTGTAACCACCACACCCACACACAGAGGAAAGGGGAATGGACTGGCATAACCCACTGAGTTGTCAATTACAGAGCTCAGTAAGGCTGCTCTCTAGGCTATAACTGGAGTCTAATTATCCCAGTTAGAAGAACAATCTGTTATTAAGGAAAGATGCATGCGCAGAGGAGTCGGTGTGATACTTAACCCTCTACAGTCTCTGTGTCTATGTCGATCACTTGTTTTTAGAAATACATGCTGTTTTGGAGCTTTAACAAGGAAACATATTACAGCTTTATTATCAAGAATGTTAAATAAAGATAATATAATATTGATTGGTATTTCAAACATTAATCCTACTGGGGCACTGAGATGAGCAATCAAACCCCATAACAAATTAACTGTCACTCTGCCCTCAACAACTGCTTAGATTGTTTCGTTCAAAAACGGTTTGCAGGTTGTCAACGTGCCCTCAGGAGTAATTCCACTCGGTTTACCCAGAAAAGCTGGCACTGACTGCCAATCATGCTCCACTACTGCTAGTGGCTGCACTGTGAACGACAACTGGTTCTGTTTAAAAAAGGCTGATTTATTTGAAAGATATTATAAAGCACTATTAATTTTCAGAGAGCTACATCCTGAAAACAAAATAACTGGATACTGAGAAAGACAAATATGGGGTTAAATGTAGAGAAACCTCTAAAAGATTGACACAAGTGGTAGAGGCATATTTAGAGATACCAACCCCTTGAAGTCGAACATCATAACCACACTGCGTGTTGATGACATCCTCCTGTAAAACAGACAAACACAACAACATGAGGTGCTCCGTCAGATTTTAAATGTCACCATTTGAACCACTGTTCAGAGGGTGTGAAATTTCCAATATCTCTTCATATGTCTGAGAGACAAGAGGAGAACCTAAAAGATTTAAGAACTAAATGCTATGAAGTGGAGTGTACTGACTGTGTTGTGGCAATAGCTCAGTGTTTGTTTAATACTGGGGTCATTAATACCAGAGTACTTTTAAATCTTCAACATCTTGACCATTTCATCTACAGTCATAAATAAACTCAAACGCTAAAAGAAATAGTGCAATTGCACTGCTCTTAGATTATTCACTCAAATCATAATATATGATTATGCCACGATTAATCATGCAACATTGTTGAGTGACTCACTGCAGGGTCTTTGACACAGCAGGAAAATGGGACTCCACAGCGCTCCCTACTGGGGTTCAGGTCATTGCAGTTGAAGTACATGTTCAGGTTCCAGTCGTCAGGCCCATGAGCTCCACAGCATGACCACTGAGACAGCAGCAACAGTGGGCAGAGATTAGACTGGCGACTCTGTCTAACAAGCAGATTTATTTTCTCTGATCTGCTCTTCAAACAGCTCTTTAAAGCCTGCCTCAGGTCAGCCTGGGTGGATAGCCAGCTTATTGTGGTGATCAGCAACTACAGATAGTGAGACTCAAATGGCGAAACTACAGTGGATCTAATTGCCTTTACAGCATGATATGACAGAGCCCAGCATTTTCACAGAGGGCCCAATTACCTAAACGGTTTCATTCTATAACTGGATAATCGTTTGACAGAAATGCAATCACATTAATCATCAGATTTGCACCGCGACTGCAGTGGCTGACTCATTCACCTTTCTTCCCAGAACTGAGCCCATTCAACATGTTTCTAAACACATATACAGTAAACACCAGTGTTTACAGAGCTTGGAGTGGCCTGTTCCTACCAAAAAAGGTGATGTTAGAAGGATGGTGGCTTTCTAACTGTTAGTGACGCACGAGTTTCAGTCAGCATGGAAGGACTCACATATTCCTGGGCAAAGTCAATGAGATTCTGCAAGTCAATGTCATCACGGTAGGCCTTGACATTATTGTTGATGAAAAGGTTGAGCTGGTCTTTGATCCAGTCCTTAAAGACGAAGGCAAGGATCCCCGCAGTCAGCTCCAAGAAGAAGATCAAACCCAGGAAAACAGAAAACTGGGAAGTACATGATGCACACAAACAAACAAAATACAATAAATGTCACTTTAACCGGGGAATCTGGGTGTACCCAAGAAACTCCTGTTTTCTTACAATCAGAACAACATTTGTTTCCAGCATTTCTTGTAAAAGGATTAAAAGGACCCAATATCCCTGAGCACATTTGGTTGGAAGGCCTGTCCTGATGTGCTGAGTGAGAGTGTGGCAGCAAAAGCGCAGTCCCAGAGGTACCATTATATCATCCCTTTACAGTAAACGCAGGAGGAGACAGGGCTAATGATAAATGCACAAAAGCCACATTAGCTCCTCACTCTGACGCCTGACTTACTGCTGCTAATGGACATCGGCTGGACTTAATAGCTTCTCAGTCAGAATCGCAGCCAGCAGCAAGGCAAATCTGTCTCCGTCAGTCACATGCTGTCATCAATACAGCTGAACCCTAATAACCCTAAATTTGCACTGTCATGATCTGAGGCAACAGAGTAATTCTCAGCATTTGAAAAAAATATGCTGATGAAGGAAGCACTGCTTGATAGATAAAACATTTTGGTGGTTCATGAGGCATGGCTGAGCGTTTCTGATCATTCCTTCTAGATTAAACAGGAGTTGGTTTAGTGAGGAGATAACATCTTTTTGTCATAGCATTTGATGACACGGATGGTGTCGGATCTGCTGTGAAATGCAGTGGTTAAAATGGTGCTCAGAAAGTCGAGGGCTGCCTTACAAATTTCAGCAGAAAGGTGTTCTCTCTGAGGGCTCCAATACAGCCAGCAAAGCCCAGAATGAACATGACCCCTCCTACAACGATGAAGAGCCACACTGGGTCAAAGCCCCCTAGATCTGTGATGGATGACAGATTGGACAGCACGCCCTGAGGGAGAGGGAGAAAGACAAAAGAGAGTGCTTAAAACACTGACTATAATGCTTTGAAATCAACCCTTAACCATGTCTTTTTTACAAGTTCTCATCAAAAGTTCTCTCTCTTCAAAAACACACAGTTAACCCTGAAAAGAGCATGTGATGTTAAAGAGAAACAAGTGAGTTGAACTAATGGCGCAGCTGAGAGGTCAGCTAAGGCTGCAGAACAGTCTATTAGAAGACAACTCTGTTATTTGATTAGAACAGTATCTATCAAGTGTGTTGCTTTCTAAATAAAATAAACCCCCAGAGGCTTTTTCATCCATTTATCTACAACATAATTTCACTCTCTGGCAAATCTCTGTTCAGCCTATAATAACAAAACAAAAGGCACAGTTAGGAGTTTTCTGTTGTAGGATATGGTTCTTGTTACCATTGCTAACTCTGAGAGACGAGACAGTCCAAGTAACTTCAAAACAGTGCTGATTTATTCAAAGGATCACAGGTAAAATTAACATTACACGCTCAGGTATCTTGCACCTCCAAACTGCACGCAGGCAGATGTAAGATGAAAAACAGACGTCTCTGGTGCCAGCTTTGCAGCTGGTCATAGCAGTAGTCAAAACATGAAGTAAATCAGTGTGTGTGTCTGTTGATTAAGTGGTGTGTAGCTAAAAACATTCTCACGACCTCTAGTACATGTCGTGACTTAAACATAAGAACATATTATGGCTAAGGCTACAGTTATACACATCATAATAATAATATTAAACACCCTGTCTGCTGACAGTCATCAACTCTTCTCTCTAGTTATCCTTGACCAGATGTACCCTGTAGAAACTGATGAGCATGCCTAAGCATTTAACAGTCTAACTAGACATCCTATCTCCACTAAACATTTCTAATACATTAAGTATCTATCCAATATCTATCTGACTAAAAATACCTAACACTGTGAACATCCACAAACAGACATCTACACTTCCTCTGCACTGCATGTCCTGTCTTCACAGCCCCAAGGCCACAGTATGTGCGAGATGTTTTCCTGTCAGCCTCTGGTCTGCATCACGCCCAGCACTGACAATCTGAAGCCACAACATTTCTCGAATATATATTTCACCTTAATGTTAAACAGCAGGATCATTAGAAGATGAGTTAAAGTCACAAGATAGCACATAATGAGGTACAATGCTTGAATTCTGACTCTTTGATGATCTTTCAGCATCTCTTCACACATTTCTCACCTATATTGAAAGGGAACCCTCCAGGGTTAATATGCCTGTAAATATGGGCAACCTCTCTTATTTCTGAAATTCTATTTGCTTGTCAGATACAGTGCACACTTGCAGCTAAAGCCCAAGAAGCTGAAACCTCATACTGCTTAAGTTAAGCTCCCTATGCACTGAGCTAGGGGACAACCACAGGGCAAACACAATACTGCATTCATGTGTTTTATGGCAGTGGTGCAGAATAAACTGCCTTCATTTGAATTTATGTATGAGGCCCTGAAACAATAATGTAGTCTGGCAGCATACAGCAGGCTTGAAACTAATCATCTTAGTCACTGAGACCCAAACTCACCATTACGCCTTTCCAGTAGCCACTATTCATCATTCGGCCTAATCCCTTTAAATTATTCATGCTGTTCCACAAAGGTACTCTGGTGGTGCAGGCCTATTTGCACAGAGTTCATACCCAGACATTACTAATCAGTACATGAATCCATGCTGGTCCAGCATTTACTGAACAGACCGGTATGACTTATAGCTAATTAATGAACAAAGTGATTATAAACTTGATTCTAGAGGTTCTGCATGTTGCCATGAGCTGCTACACACAATAGTTAATGGCAGCACCTGACATTCGTAGCCTGTACATGGTTTTAAAATAAACTGTAACCAGTTCAGACACAAAGAAGATGCCCGGTGATTGTGAGTCAGGAGTTTGTAATTTTAGCTTGTTTCCATCCAAGCTCTCTCCTGCAAACTGTGCTTCTATCTTGAAGAATTTGAGCTATGCTGTTGAGGCAATCATGTTGTGCTTCACCAGTGTGTTTGTGTGTGCGCATGTATTTATACTTACCTTCTCTGCCCATGCCCACAGGCCTATGCTCAGGAATGCTGCTCCCAGTAACTGTCAAGCAAAGCACACAGAAGAAGCTTCACAATTAGACAGAAAGCAGCTACACCCATCACTTAGACCCTTTTAAAAGCATCCTCAGTGACAAATTAATATAAGCTGAACACTTCCTCTGTCAGGACTGTGTAGGTGTGGTTTGATCACATTCATTTACACTGGTATCTGTGGCAAAACATGTAAACAACCTGTTTTATAATCTTTTTGTTCAACTCTGATCTATGACATCATTTTTCCTAAGACAGCCTGACCCACAAACATGTGAAAAGAAAGTAGTCATCAAAAACTGGCAGATAACAGCATGTTCATGTGGAACCCCATCACCAATAAAAAAGAGGCTAATTGAGAGAATCGGCTTTTAGAGACTGTAGAAAAAAAAGGGGGCAGGGGTGGATTCACAGAATGTCTTAACTAGCTGTGGACAGAGTGAATCAGTACATCTGCAGGTTAGTGTGATTGTGTTGTGCTGCTTAAAAAGCTTGAGGATCTGATATCCTGAGAGTTAAGGAAAATTCCTCTGGCATTAGCCTCCTGTCTCAAGGAAGGATGCTAAAAAGAGAACTTCAAAAAGTGCTGTGACAACCTGAGATGGCCACAGTACTGCAGGGCGCCAGACTGCAAGTGCACTCAGGTGCGACTAATTTTTTTCACAGGCTGCACGCTGGGTGCGACTGAAAAATCGGCAGGTGTTAAAGGGTAACAACAACCCCACATTCTACTAGAAGCCTCTCTCCCAGCATTCAAAATGCAACAAACAGAGAAACATAGGGGCAACTAGTAGCAGGCGTGGCTTCATGACTATGTGCGATGAGTAGGGTCAGGGGGACTCCTGGGAGACTGACCACTGCTCAGTGTTGCATGGATGGAGTCAGAGCTAAGCTAACTACCACAAGAAGCTGCATGTTGAACTTTACTTTTCTCTGCTGGAGAGACAGGGATTCTGAAGGTGCTCCAACAGTCAGTGCAAGCATGTTACTGGCAGAGTGTCAGCAACTTGGCTGTTCATCATGGTTAACGTTGCTGTTCGTCAACCCTAAATATCTCGTTAAGCTCTTAATATAGCAGAGATATCGGCGGGTCTGTGTCTTATGTTTACTGCCTCTGCCGAGAAATAAATCTTATCCATATATAGCACTGTTTTTCAGGACACTGCTTTCACCGAAGGAAAAAAAAAACAGCAGGATCATTTTATCTCATAAAATGACTTAATGTGGTCTGCAAATTTTTAGCTTGTATAGTATTTGTTTACATGTTGGAACATTAAGCACATGGAATTACCTGTTAACAGTAATGCTACTTTAATACTGAGGAAATCTTAAAAGCCCAACGATTCTCAAACAAGTTCTGATGCATTCCAGTCCCTGCATCAGTAATTTTATATCATCTTGTAATAACACGATCTTGTCTCATAATTACACATAATTACACAAAAAACTTTTTAGCTTTAAGCACAAAGCATTAAAGTTATACAATGACAGCATGAGGCACAAAAAATGAACAGATTCCTGTTGCTTGTATGGTACACTCCTGTTCCTAGGTGTTTTCAGTGGCAAGAGAGCACTAGCCAGGCGAGTGAGAGAGCTGAGCTTTGCATTAAATTCAACGCACCCTATCACACAAATGACAAAGCATGGGGCCAATTCATCAGTTGAGCGATTTTCCCATTCATTATGCTCCACATGATCCAAGTCTCTCTCTCTTAATTTCATCATAAAATATAAGCATATTTGATTGTAAGGTAATTTAAAACAATTTGTGGATAATACTTAATCTTTCTTTTACATTACATTGTAAAACACCATCACATCTGGCACTAGTGCTGCCACCAGAAAAACTTGGTGTCAGTGTGAAATGTTAGTCTGGAGTCCTGTACTGCAGTGGTCCCCAACCCCCGGGCCGCGGACCGGTACCGGTCCGTGGATCAACTGGTACCGGGCCGCACAAGAAATCATTAATGATTTCCGTTTTATTTATTATCTGAGTCTGAACGATCTTTTATTTTGAAAAATGACCGCATTCTCTCGGTTACATCTCGGTCACTTGAGCGCCAAAACTGGCTTACTTGTGCGACATATTCAGCCTGCTCAATGAACTCAATCTGTCACTTCAGGGGAAAATGACAACTGTCTTCAAGTTGGCAGATAAAGTAGCTGCATTTAAAGCCAAACTGGATTTGTGCGTACGGCGCGTCAACAGAGGTATTTTGGACATGTTTCAAACATTAGCGGGGATTTGGGGTGACACTGAGCCTGAGTCTTCATTCTCCCAGCTGGTGCACGATCACCTGTCTTTGCTTTTAAAAGAGTTCGAGCGCTACTTCCCAACCACAAAGGACCCACGAACTGCCAAGGAATGGATCCGCAACCCATTTGTCAACAAACCAGGTGAATCCAGCATGTCTGTGCAAGAAGAAGATCAACTGCTGGAGATCGCAAATGACGGCGGCCTTAAAAGTATGTTCGAGACAACAACTCTGTCGGTGTTCTGGATTAAAGTCATGACAGAATACCCTGAGATCGCCACCACAGCACTGAAAACTGAGACTTTGATGTTATACTCATGTTATGTTGTTGGCGCAATGTTACGAGGAAGCTGCTAATAAAGTTGCATACAAGTACACAGTAAATTCACATATATTATTATATTTACAATATAAACAATCTACGTACCCCCCCGGGCCGCAGTAAAATTGTCAAGCGTTGACCGGTCCGCAGTGATAAAAAGGTTGGGGACCACTGCTGTACTGGACTACACCATGTAAAGATATAAAATTATACAAAAACAGCAATCAGGCTTCAGGAACACACTTTAGACTTTGGATCAATGAATATCACCAATTTCTGGGTAGTGTGGTTTTACCAATGTAAAGTCCTGGTGCTGGCCTTCCACTTTCTGGGAGTCCATATTGAGGAGGATCTGACCTGGGGCGTGAATACCTCTGGACTGCCTAAAAAAGGCCAAGCAGAGACTGTACTTCCTACTAGTGCTTAGGAAGAACAACATCTCCCAGAGACTGCTGGTGTCCTTCTATCGGTGCTCCATTGAGAGCAGCCTTACATACTGTATATGTGTATGGTATAACAGCTGCCCAGTGGCTCAGAGGAAAGTGCTCCTGAGGGTCATTAATATGGCCCAGGAGATCATCGGCTGCCCTCTCCTCACTCTGGAAGAACTACACAGTTCCCACTGCCTCAAAAAAGCCCAGATCATCATTAAGGACACTTCACACCCAGGACGTTCACTCTTTGAACTGCTGCCGTCAGCAGCAGATTAAAGAATAGCTTTTACCCAACAGCAGTTACCACACTCAATCCTGCTAAAAGGGTTTAGAGGTCTGTTGTTTATTTCATTTTTCTAGCGGTTAGGTTTTTTTATATGGTCTTATTTCATATGTTATGTTTTTTTCTCATTGCTGTACCGACTGGAGGTCAATCTGAAATTTCACTATATGTGTTATAATGACAATAAAGGATTATCTTATTTTATCTTAAAATGTTATTGTGCTATTAGCTACTTAGCTGCCACAGAATGTCATTTCTAAGACATTTGGGTGGTAATGAACTTAAGTGAGGCACACTACAACAGCAGAGCCTAAAGAATAATAGTTCCATTGAAGCTGGGTTAAATCATATGGTTGGAAAGCAAAAGAACCAGGTAAATATGAGGCAACCTATCAGTGTACATATATCAAGACAAACAATGTGGCAATATACCAAGTTACATATGCTGTTGTGGCTCCTGAGTGGGGAAACTGACGCACGGGAAGGCAAGCAGATAGAGCAGGTAGAAGAGATTAGACTGACAGAGTGGTAACAAACTATTTAGCTTCTAACTGCAAATAAACCACACAGATTAAAGACAGCACAAAAACAGTGACAGAGAAAATTCAGTCAGTTATGCTTGGACAATTCACTCCTCTATTTCAAGTGTCCTTGAAAGAATCTGGGGGCTAAACAGAGCCTGCACCTTCTTTATGCATGACACAATCCAGCCTCACAAAAACCAAAATGAATGTTGCATTGTAAACTTAAAAATTCCCTGAGGTTATCACCATGGCGCTGCCCTGACATAGTCTGAACTTTGAACATGCATTGCCAATCGTTTAACATGACTGTTTGCCATGTCCAACATCAGCAATTGAATGCTAATTAGCTACACTTGACTGAGAATAGCTTGTATTTGTGTAGGAACAATAACAAAATACAGTGCTGCCTTCAAGTGTTTAATGAAGTTTCTAAACATTTTTAGAAAGCAGACATGATCCCAGAGCTGCAGAAATGTAACATTTAGGTAATAGAAAGCACACAATCCATGTTGCCTATTGTCATGTGTCACACTGCATCATTCAGTATGTCCTGTATAGTATTTATAGTAAACAAACAACTACTTCTGGCTAACTGCTCAGATCATTACTGAAGGCCCTGGTGGTTGGGTAATGACACATCCCTTTCTCTTATTCTATATCTCGAGTTTGTTTTCTACTGTGACCCTCTTCAAAAAAGGGCAGAAGAAAATACAAAGCATCTTCATTCTGATGCTTCTGAACTAAAACACCAGTCAGACAGCAGAAAAATACTTCTGTTATATGACCAATTTTGTTATTATTTCCGGTCAAAAACACATCAAGTTGGATCTTCCTCAGGCACAGCTTAGGGCGACCTTGAAGGCAGCATTAAGCGAGACAGCAATGGAGGTATCCATGCCTGGTAGCCTGTCATTTTGGCTTTTTCCACTTTTTCTGAAGCTTCCTCTCAGTCAGTGACTATTTCCATTAACAGTATTTATACAACACACCAATCCTGACTGCCTCTTTGGAGAGGACAGTGTGCTGAAGAAAACAAAATTTAGGCAAAAAAAGATAAATCTGGTTTAACTACATTTCTTTCCTTTTTGATCACACTATAAAAAGATTTGACCTCCCATTAACTCACAGCACCACTAGGTTGTATTGTGAAGTGTCAAATACAGTGAAAGCATATTCTGATAACCAGTACAAT